ATCGAACGGGGTATCGTACGAAAATTTCTCCAGTAGTGCGTATATCGTTTAACCTAAACTGGTACTTGGTGACGAGAAAGTGTAATTGAAACCATGCGGGGATAAGTGAAACAAATAAAATAAATATGTTCCTCACCGAAGCACATGTATATTTACCTATAATGTTATTAATCTAGAAATTATTGTTAAACAAGATTTCAAACGCGACAGGTAGGTAATGATATAGGTATGTTATAATTCACCGTATATTATAATAATTATAACACACACTAAATTGACAAAATTTTAGTCCTGGTTTGTGGACTGCTAAAATGAAAGCGTGTATCAACCACACACWCGTACTTACCATTATATCTTGAAAGATGAACGTGCTTATTAACGGATACGATTATACCGAATGAAACCATCATAATTAACATTATGCAACGTGGACGTGATTCCAAAACGGAGGTATAAATTTTGATCCACACCAGTCGATTGTAATTTAAATACAAAAAATAGCGTTTGTGCTTTCACGAATATCGCGTATAGTTGTTTGTATCGTATATAAAAAGAGTAGTATAATATAAAGTTAAGATAAATTGGTTACATATATATAATATAGTATATATATAACAGCGTTATTTAAGTTGTTTCTCGCGTAGTTAAACTACCTACTTAAGTACTTATATGTGGTTTTATAAGTACAAATTATCGAACAAACCAATGAGCTCGACTGATAAACTTCATAATTTAGTATAACTCATATAAATATACATATAGTATGAAGACGTACTGCTATGAAGCGTATATATCACGAAAGGCGATTTTTAAATCTTGCATATTAGGTACCTATACGTGACTGTAACTCAACGGTTTAGTTTAGAACATCAAAGCCACAAATTGTATGATAATTTTAAAATAAAACATACTTTTATAGTTATATTTTATTTGGCTATTATATGCTTGACGATTCTTTCTAAAAAATTTAGAACCATATGGCTGAAAGTGGTCATAAGCTTTCATATTTTTAGTTTGTTGTGCATGGATATTAATTAAAATTTAAAATGAAAAGAATATCAAAACGAACATGATTAAAATGTTTAGTACCTATTTTGACAATTAATTGATAACAATCAAAACAATTACAACATTACGACATACAATCAGATTTATTGTAAACATTTTAGATGTAAATACTGTACTAATCTTTTATTTACTCATGATAATCGGTTTCATGTGAAATTTGGTAATGAAGAAATGAGTCGTACTTACGTATGTATTGTACAATATCGTATATACATACCTACATATAAAATAAAGAAATTAATTTTAAAATACAAGTAAATGAAAGACTAAAAACACAGATTTTATTGAGTCCAATTTGAAGTATAGGAAATGAAGAAGTTTCYAAACATATAATACAATGATGTGTTTTCTTTAAAAAACATACTTCGTTCTCATTGTGTTTTAATATTTAAAAGAGCAAATATTGTATTGGAAAAATGTTTCTGACTGAAACATTACTTGTGGTAGCCTCTTGAATCTATTCACTATACAGACACATGATGATCCTTTCGCTTCTCACGACTAAACACTTATGAGAAAACTTTTCAACCCGTGGTTGATTGTGGTTTTTGCATACACGTCTTCAGGTCATGGATAGGTCATAGAAAACGATTTGAATAATAGAACAATTATTATTATACTTAAAGAAAAACACTAGGTATAGATTACTTCTCCAAAACAGAGAAGTATAATATTTTATAACGCACAACCGTACCGCAACAGGTCAGGTTATACTCGTATATATGCAGACCTAAATAATAATTCAGGCAGTAAACAAACGGGCGGGGTCCTCCCAAGATTGTTTTACTTTCAATTTCAATACGTTCTTCGCATTCTTCTATTCAAGGTTGTTATCGTTTAAAAATAAAATGATTCTTCTGGCATTCAACTAGCCTTCTAATTTGCATCATACATAAATATTATCGATCAATTTGATGTAAACTTTACATTAATAAATAGGGTGAAAATGATCGATTAACTATTATATCCGAAACCAACAGTGACCTAGTCTCGATATTATCTGTATATCTATTGAAATTAAAATGAATGTAAATAAACTTAAAAATATTGCCCATATTAAAATATATATATAAGTTGTATTATCGAAGTATATTCGATAAATAAAAGTCAAATGTTAACACGGAAATACACTCAATTAGATACAAGGGAGTACATGGAAGTATAACGAACATTTATTCGAGGTTAATTGTTAAAATATCCTTGAATATTAAAAATAAATAAACACACTACTTTCTATTGAAACAGACAATAATAATAAGTACCATAAACTTTCGATTTCATAACGCAATATGTTTGGATGATTTGTTTTTTCTTCGATAAGCGGTAAGTCGATAAATCAATGATTTATTATACAAATGTAATAAATATTTCATAATAATTAAAATCATTTAATTTCTTGAGAAAATAAAAATATCTAATAAATCTCGAGTTTTGAAAACGAAAAAAAAACTATTACGTCCATCCGTGCAAGATTGACTTCATCGTGTGTTTCAAATAAAACAGGTACCTATATTCATTCATATATTATTAAATTATACAATTATCGAGGGGGAGAAGTGACCAGACGGGATTCCAACAACAGCACCATTGCCGCAACAGCGGTGAACAACAAGCTACTACGTTTCGGTATGTCTTCTAAACAAATTACGGGTGTATATTATACTTTACAGTATATTATAGAATACAGCAGCAGCAGCAGCAGCAGCAGCTTATACACCAATAGGTGTTGAATATAATTTTTTTTTACGTTCAGGTGGGCTGAATTCGACCAATGACGTACTATTGTGTAACGCCTGTAGTTAAATCACTATTATACCCATGCCTATGTGTTATATTTTTTCCACCTTTTTCTATTGCAACATAATATTTTTTGTGGTATACCAACACCAATTGCACAGGAACGAATTACACTTGTTTTTTTTTAGTGTATACAAATTCATAATAATCATTTTTAGATATAAATTTCAAAATATCAAAAACACACGTGTCCGATACTACGTTCAATAACCCAAGAATATTCTACGTCGGTAATAAAAAACAAAATATAGTATACGTCCTAATAATATTAATTCTACCATCAAACATACAWAATGATACGTACTCATACATTAAAAAAAGTGTTACGTCTTACGTGGATCAATACATACTTAGAATATTTATATGTTACAAACATTACACAATCGGAATTACTTCGGCTATTATATATGATGATATTATTATATAGTGACTACGTTTCGTATCGTATTATCAGATTAAAAAATCCTTGGCCCATACATTAATTTAATGTTTTTTTTCCTTAACAATGATTAACTGAATAAATAAATAATGGTATGTACCTAGTTACTTTGATAGATATATTTTATAAATTTAAATAACTTTTATAACTTATATTATTATGTACATTAAACTTACCTAGTTTTCTCAATATTTCGCTAAGTCATGCATAGTTTTAAATTCCTATATGTAAAGTGTTAAGAGGACGCCAAAAAGGCATTTGTTTTCTAGAATATTATCTAGGGCATATCTGAGGATTTCATTGATGTTATTATTTTAGGTAAGTTATGATCKTTTATAAACTGTTTTATTTTTTGTGCATTTTATCAAATTTTATGAGAGATAAATTTAATCTAATTTCAAAAATTATAGAGTAAAATCACTAAAATGTAGGTATTATTGTGAACATAAAATTTACTGTATTGTACGTTTGTTAGCCAGAGACAAAAAATGCACGTGTGGCATTCTCTTGATCACTAAATCATTCTACGAACAGCAAGTATGTAGATACAATGGTTTTAAAATCAGTATAAATATTTTGATTTATAAATCCTAAAGTGGATTTATATTGCAGCATTTATGAAATTTAAACTATAAAAACGTTCGGAGTTTGTATTACTTTTGCATATAATAACAATTTGATTTGATTTTAAAAAAAGTAATTAAACTTAATTTTTAAAACAAGTGAAAAAAATGTATGATTATGGTTAAGAAAGTCAATAAAAACAATTAATTAATATAGAGAGCTGTAATACTTTCAATGATTTGGATTGAATAAATGTACACAATATTAATACTTACAAACACAACTACATAATATTAATCATATTAAATGTCTTGAAATAAACCCTACGTCTACATCATGCCCTGTAGGCTATAGATATAGGACGTAGGTTTATATTCTCAACATGTACTTTCGTAGAGCTATAGTAGCTCAAGACGCTCACGTAATACTTATCTATTATAATTATTTATTAATACACTATACATAATATTTGAATTGATTAATACAATTGTATTATTATTAATATATACCTACTATTATTAAAGCTCTCAACTATGCATGTCCTTCGGCAGACCCGTCCGATCGATTGCTCCCTCGGGATATCAAAACCTCATCTGCCTACGTCTATAACACTCTATAGACCTATTGTATACACTATGTTGTTATGAAACAAAATTAGTTATTTTGCATCAGTAGACCACTTTGTTGTAGTGTAATATTGGATTTTTGAACAATACTAGTAGAGATATTTCATGGAAAACTTGGATGAAAATAATACTTAACGGCACAATAGTCGGTRCTGTCTATTGTTAATAACACACATGATGGCACATAATATATAATATTATAATATAGACATGAACGTGTACCAAATAAGCTATATAGATCAAAACAGAAAACAACAAATCTATACTGGGTATATACTATGTTTAAAGATTTGCTGAACGATAGTAATTACCACGTTATCATTAATACTAATAAGACATACTTACAAGGTAAGTATTAAAAATAATAGCATGTTTGAAAAACATCAATACCTCAAACTCTAAACTTCCGGAATCACTGGCTGATACCTCAACTCATCTCCGTACACAATACAATTTATAATTGCTTCCAATTTACTCGACCCAAACTTTAAAAAAAAAAGACTTACCTTTAGGCATACCACAAGGGCCGGGCGTTCTGCTAGTATCCAAGAAGTCGAGGTCATATGTTCGGGCTGGAGGAAACGTGAGGGCTACATGGCTCGTGGTACTGCACACCAGGCAAGCCACCACGGCCAATATTAATTCCCTCGAATTTGAGTTCATGACGAACGCAATTATATACTTAAGCTATTCTCAAGCCCATTTCGTATGACCTAGAAAATATAATAAAAATTATAAATATTTGTAATATAGATAATTGCAAATACTTAAAATTAATTGAAAATAATTTTTAATTTAAGTATCTATACAAGCTACTTGGGTATTTTTCGTTTTATTTTTATTCATTCACAGCCCTTAAATGTGATGCAACTCTGAGAATGCTTATTWGTTATTATGATATACAAGTATACAACTTAAGGTTGATATTAAATCAATGGCAGTCAAATGGAGAATGAGGTGAATAGATCCAACTCCTTACTCCGTAACCTTTTTTCAATGTTTAGATCTAATAACCATTTTTGATAACAAAATAGTGGATGTTTAAAAATCAGCCATATTACTTCCTTCTCTATCRTGTTTTATGAAGTATAAGTGTATAACCAAACTAAATGTATACACAAATATATTTTATTAAATTTATCGTAAATAAGTGTTTGAGAAAATCCTTAAAAAATATTATATGTTTGTATATAGATCAAACAATAAACAATGAATACACAAATCAATGAAAATTTCAATTACGTCAACTAACATTGATCCTCATTAAACAAAAATAGTCAACATTCAATTACCTACCAATTTTAAGTATCTACAAAAAAATTAATACTAAGCAATAAGCACTAAACACCGATTAAAATATTAAGCCAAACGTTATAGTTATATTGTCCGGAATATACTTAAGTTGCACAGTGTATACTTTTAAGTTTTATAAAATTAATCGACGACTAACTGCAGTATGGTAAGTATAATATAAATCCATACACAATACGTATTAGTATCATGCTTATAAGTCGGCTGAAACGATAATCAATTTACTAGGCATATTTTGGCGATGCTGACGTTTTGAGCAAATTTCTAACTAGTAACAGCGAACAAACCAATACTCAGTTAGGTAAACCAGGTCGTTCAAAACTGTATCGCCAAACCACACCTATTGTTTTAGACAAATATCTAATATCCGATTAGTCATTACTCATAAACCGATTATACATCAATCATAAATAATCAAGTTCTCTATATTATTCATTTATTTTATATTTTTATTTCATGCTAAATTTTCACAAATACATACATCACCAAACATTTYAAATAATTATACCTATATCATAAAAACTTTTAAAATGCTACTGTCTTTACTTTGAAAATTATTCCAGGTTTCAACTATTATTATAGTCTATCGGATTAATAAGACTGATTAACGACTATTCAATAACCGATATACGAAAACAAACAATATAAAATCATTCTATTTGTTTTTATTATTATTGTAAGTGACAGTATAWTATAATTATTATCTAAGAGCTAACTAAAACTAATTCTGTTGACAACATAAACATTGACAATATTCAATTGACCAGAGTTTTTAAAATGTATTATCCAATCGGATTATATGGTTTTATGTTACGCAATCTAAGGATAGTAATATGTAATAGAAAGTTAAATATTTGATAAAGGTTAATTTTAAATTTAAATCCAAAACATAGAATTTGCATGAATATTTTAAAATTAAATATTGAATGATTTAGATTAATTTCATGATAAAATAAATTAATGAAATTGATAAATTCACCCCAAGTGGTCTAAAGTATGGTAATTTTAAGCAAGTAAACAATTATTATGTACCTATTACATGCGATTAAGTGTTGGTACACAGCTCAAATTGCCAACAAAACATAATTATGTAATTTAATAACGTATTAATATGAGATTAAATATAATGTCTGAGTTAATGATAATTTGGTATTTAATACTTAAATAATTTGATAAATTTAGTAATTTTACTGGTGTAGGATACAGATATCATTTTTTATAATGTGTTGGTTATTAATCTAATACGATAAATAATTGAATAAACCTAATAGAAGCTAATACTTTAATAAACGGTGAAAGTTTGAAAAACTTTTAAATGTTACTTTGTGGATTGCCTGCAGTTGTGACGCACTTAATATTTTTTTAAATTACGAAAATGATTGTCTTTTTAAAAAAAATTACTCTATTACGAGTATAACATTGGAAGTAATATTTAACTTACCTTACTTACTTAACATTATGAAGAAATAGTTTTCTTAAGGTAGGTATGTACATACATTTTTTAATCGTTATTTTCTATCGGCTATCACTCAAGGACAACAACCAAGATACATTTTATGAACGATTAATTTTCGTAATAGACATTATATTATATTCAAAGAACATTTATCACTAACCAGTATAAGGATTTTAGAAGGATAATCTTTGATCTAATAAATTCAATGTTTTCAATAAAACATATAATAATAAATAAGTTATTTTTATGACGTTTTAATCTGTAAATAATCTAATACATTATCTTGGTCTTTCCRACTCCGTTCTTTGGATTAGAGAAATAAACGAATTCATACTATGTATATGTATAGTATACCTACATTGTATACAGGCGAGTATATTATTAGAGTTGTAACAAAAGTTTTCAGTTAAAACGGTATTCATTATTTTATCATGAGTATACTTACGTCTAAAATAAATTATAATTTTTTAACAGACACCTGCATCAGGATATGAATTTAAATTACATTCACTCATTCACCTTTATTCCATATTATTATAAGTTAATGTGTTTATTTTTCGTACAATAATCATGCGTATAGTAAAAAACCCGACACCAAAGGGGTTGACAACCTTACAGGAGTAACTGAGTAAGAGCACTAACCTAGACATAATATTATAATAATTAAAATTATACGCTAGCTGGTTTTTTTTTATCTATCATCTCAAAGTAATGTCATCTAAATAATTAGTCGATCCGCTTTTTTTTATGACAAAAGCGTCAACTCATCTCAAGGAATATATGAATTTTAACCATAGAGTATATGTATAACATTTACAACAAGTAGCTTATTATCTACAACGTGAAGATGAATATAATTTTTTATATAACTCCTCGATTTACCGATCATTTTTTACATCGCTGCTGTGCATATACATATATAGCTACATAACGCACATGTATTGCTAAAATTGCCTAGAAGCATCTTTCTATATTTTCTTTTTTATTATTATTTCATAACACAGCAAAATCACCAACGATGGTCAAATCGTTTCCTGGTCACTTATATGATTGACCACATACTTATACTATACTCTACACCGCATACAGACGTTCACGTGCTATATTTGCAGTTTATGCGAGTGAGATAAATATCTTCTTGCCCTCAGAATTCACAAGAATGTGGCCTTATGTCATCATATATAGATATGATATTTTTCTGGGACACCAAACCAGAAAGATTTTTCGCAATAACGCACATCATTACATTGGACCGTTGAGGTGCATTTATATACTACAAAGTAGAACCTACGAAAATCCACACGAGTAAACACTTATAGTATACATGTACATAATAAATTATAATAGTGTTATGTGTGTACGTATCATTAGCCAACAAGAAACCGACCTCACCTCGAGGCCCAATACACAAATACAGTATTCCTCCACACGCTGTATCATTTTCTACATGACTTCCAATATAGTACGAAATTAAAGATTGAAAAAAGTGAGTGAAGATAATCTAACTACACTTACGGAATAAAAATATATTATAATAATAATATATATTCACTCGCAGCTCAAACACAAATGCGTTGCCCCGCGTTAAAGTCACTAACCGCTACTCAGCGGTGCGCCAAACRTAATTTACAAAAGATGTCTTTCATATAGTATCATTTTTTTATATTATTATTACGATTCCAATTGTATGCGATTAATTGTGAATAGTAAATTACAATACCATATGAAATAATGTAACATAAAATATACCTCTAAAAGACAATTGAAATAAAATAACTGGGGAGAAATACAAAATAGTAAAATTGGAAAAGATTTAAATTATATGTATAGCAATAATATTGCTCTCACAATCGAAAATTAAAAATTAATTGCTTAACCCATGACTATTTACGTAGAATAAAAAATAATCCCAGTAAAAACTCAACATACAACTAAAATTATTTTAGGTTTCTAATGTGTTTATATTATCATTTTGTAGTTACCTTTTTATAAAATAACCGACTATAAAATATGTATAGTCGGCTGTGGCTCAGCCGGACCGGGTTCGATCCTCGACCATCGGGCGACATTTTTCTCCGGGCAGTCACGGTGTCCGGAGAACAAGTGCCGCCATACCCCACTTTGGGGCATGGCAGAAACCTACGGGTGCCCCAATAAAAATTCTGCCAAAACTCACACACGTGTAACACACATTACCGTTCCATAAAATTACAGTACTACCCCATTCCCAATGGCCTAAGTTGCCGCGGGATAATTAATAAAAAAAAATAAAAAAAAATATATATAAAATAAAAAATATATATTTTACTCGATATTTTAGCAGGTTTATTGTAGGTATACCTATAATAGGTAAGTTTTTACTCGTAAAAGTAGTATGAAAATCATGCAAGTGGTCATAGATTAATGTCAATTTGTAACTACAACTAATTCATACCTATTTAAAATATTACAAAATCGTATTGAGATTGATTTTTAAATTAGATAGTTAGAATAGAAATATAGTTAGATGCTTATACTGTATAATAAAACAATGTTATACACTTTTTTCTTTTTTATAAGAAGAAATTATATCACCAGAATATACCAGAATTATATTCTGGTCTTTCGCAAACAAAACTGTTATATATTTCAAATGCCTACATCACTCTATTCTAATGTTTATACATCCATTGAAATTATTGTACTCAACGAGTTGTCACCGACATCCAATTACATTCAATTTGCAAGCTCGCAACAACCGGTTTTTACTTCGTCGACGAGATGAATCTATAACGTGAACCGGATAATATACAATATCGCACGGTCAATGGTTAGCTCATCGCAGCAAGCGTCTGCATGTTAGTTCATCGCATGTCATTTCATACCGTTATTCTTATTTATTTGTCGACAAACTAAAATTGTAGATGCAAGAAAAATGTTTGAATACCATTCAAAGAATATCTATGTGAATATTGAATTTATAAATTACAATAAATTCCCTATATATAACCATATGTATACTATTTGTTCAAAATCAAACATCAAATACCAATAATATGTAATTATTTGTTATTGACCAATTGTATTTTGTCTGTGTTGACAGTATGATAGTTAATAAAATAATACACATAACATTATAAACTGCACCAGTAGGTAACATGACRTTTTAATATATTTTAATATACATATGATAACAATATTATAACATATRTAGTATTATATATAACATATTATATAATACAAAATTTATATCTATGGCTTTTATAGATACAAGCCTGCRATAGTCACGATATGATCTGTAAATCTAAACGTTTATAGTGTTTAATGTTTATTATTTTTATTTTATACTAATTTTTTACAAGTAATGTATTTATATATTATATACGAACATTATTCGTATTATGAGAAGAGATAATATTAATATGTATAATTATTACATACAWATAGTTTAACACGTTTATCCAGACGTAGATATTTCATACACTGCGTTTATTAGTAATAAGTATTATCAACATTAAAATTATTATTTACTTATTTTTATATAACTAGTATATATATATTTAAGCAGTATTGCACAATTTCTGTACAGTTCGACATTTAGGTTCCGAATTTTTGGCTACATAATATCTTATTATGATTAAATTAACAGTAGCATAATACCAAAATATACCTAACAGACAATAAATTTAAAAAAAATCTACTATGCCCATTGTCACAAATACAATAAATATACATATTTAATATACATTTTGTTGTATTAAAAAGTAACAATGTGCAATAACCTACCTGTAACTAAATATTGTAAAATTTTAAGATGGAATGTGATAAATTCATTGAAAACATATTTTAACAAGGATACCAGAAATCAATACTGTTGCAGTAAAAATAAGAACAAATAAATATGTACCATGTTGTGATTGTATTTTTTGTAAAAAAAAAAAACAAATTAAATATATAAATAACCAATAAAAAAAAGTTGTTGAGAATTGAGATACGGTAATGACATACATTTTTTTGTACTCATAAATATAATCGTAAAGTTAAGGTTATTTGCGCGTTACGATTATAATATAATATTTTTATGTATTTGAATAAACAATTAGGTAGGTACTATTGCATTATACTGTGTGTGACTTTAAATATATTTTACTGATAATATTCTTTATTCTTAATTTTTTTTATAGATTGGCTTTATAATTGTAAAAAATAATTAATGGACTATTGTCTATTACATAACTTTTTATTTAATCACTAGATTGGTTTCCATAATATTATAATAAGTATCGTCTTTATTTTTAATTCTTTCGTTCTAACTATAACTTAGGATACAAAAAATGTTTAGGTGACACTGGACAAAATTGAAAATTATTTTTGTTCGTTTGGTTGTATAATATGTTACGTTTAATAGTTCATAGGTATATAATTCACGTCTGTGCTTCAACGGGCGTTGAATTGACGATTTGCATCACGACAGTATGACAATAACAATAAAATTTAATAAAAACCATTTTGCAGTTTGATTTTAAAGGTTGACCAATGTGCATAATATTTATCGCTGTTAAATTGTGTCTCTGAAATACTGTTGGACGTTGGTTCAATGGAACGTGCGTATTTCATACACGTTCGAGCTGTCCTATACGACATATACGTGACTTAACCTGAGCAAAAAATTTATTTAGTATGAAAGAACAAAAACAGTTATGTTTTAAGCAAAAAATACCTGTCAATAGAGTATTGGTCACGGGTATATAAAAAAAAAAAAATGAAATAAGGCATTAAAAGTGGTTGGAAACAATTCTATAGTAGAGCTATAAAGATATACATAATACAGTAGGTAATAAGTACCTACTACAGGGTATTACAATAATTATTATTCACACAATACTACCGTTGTCCGTCGCGTTTAACATTTCAGTTTAAAAGTTTATAAGAACGAAACCACAAAATATTATAATAATTACTTCAATTAATTTTGACCGATTACAATATACGCAATGGCAATATAAAATTATAGCGGTTGAATGTATATCGATAAAGAAAAATTTTTCCACTTGCAACTGCACGAAATCAAGCTATACACACAATATATGTACCACTGTTTTCGATTTCAAAATATCCGAAACCACATAACAAATAGGTAGTATAAGTAGATACTAAATCGTCGAACAACCAATAGTGAGTCTATAGAAACATTCAAACATCTATCATATAGGAACCTGATTTTCTTCTTTGGAAGATTCTCGCCTTCTCCGAGACTTGTGCAGCATGTGCATTCACACTTGATGACACACTTGAGCTTGGGAGGCGTTTTTAATATAATATATCTATTTACACAGATATGTCGAATACGTTATACCTGCATAATTAGATATTAGAGATTTTTCCTTCGTGACATATCGATTGTTTACGGTTTTGAAATAATACTGTATAATATGATTCTTTTCAGTTTAACCTTGTTATAAACACAACTATTATAAGATTCGACGAAATGAGGTTTCGACATACGAACACGTAATATTATTGTAATTAAAATTAACGATGACTGTTTAATACTCTCATACATGTAAAATATACATTTATATACATTATACATATCATTATTATATTTGTACATAATATTTTATGTGAATATTACTTTTAAACGCAAAATATRMATTTTAACCTAATAATAATATTATTATAACAACAATAGTTARACGAAGATATAATAATTTAAATAATTATATATTTTACTTCAGAGATCGGATAACGATTAATATTTTATATTACCCATTAGAAACTCGAAACTTCACAGACAATTAATATTATATTGATAAGAGATGCGATTAAGACGTCAGTATAAGGACATAACTATTAAACTACAGGCTTAGCCAGAGGGTCATTAACAATAATGTTTTAAAACGAATACACCATTARCTTTAGACTGCGTATAATTTCGTTGTCCACTATAGATGTTTAATACATAATAATATTATATTCATAATTTATATTATAAATTACATAGGTACAATGGATGACTATTCTCAATAAATTCTAATATCCAATATTGTACATAGGATTGATATTTATCGAGAAACATGTATCGGAAATATCAAATTAGATTTCCTAGTTAAAAAAAAAACATAGAACCTAGTGGGGGTATAACATCGTCTCTAATTTGAAAAAGGGTCGACGACGCCAGGTGTAAACCAAAAACCACCATTGACGTAAGACCGTTTACCACGGTCGAAGGAGGGTTCAAAAATTGTTTGTGCTGCGTTATCTTACCTGTTCGTGTAAGACAATACGTAAATTGTTGTTGTTGTGTTGTAATGAAAACCTGTGAACTCGATTGGTTTTATTCCGTAAGAACACCGCGAGCAATACAATATTGTCAAAACAACAATTTCGATTCACGGAATAATACGAGAACGTTTAATCACTCGAGTTTTTACGTAAACGGGCGAGCACGATCGTCTAGATTTCGCATAAAACAAGAGAAAACGACCGACCAGTACGGAACACACGAACGATCTGACGAAGTGACGACACCTGACGGACTGCGGTAGTGCGGTCTGCGATAGTTCGGTGCAACGACGATTTCCCGGTATCTCGGCGGCGCTCACATTTCTTCGTCGAGTTACCAAAGACGCGAGCGCGGGCACGGCTGTGGCCAGACGTATCGACCACCGCGCATGCGTCATCTTGATACAACGTTCACGCCGAACCAGTCGTCGTCGTGGTTACCGAACGGATACGTCGCGCCAGTGAAACGCGCCTTAAACCACCAACAATGTTTATTTTTTTTATTTTTTATTGCTATTAGGTCTTTTACTATTATACCTACTACACCTGGGACAACGTCTATGGAAGATTTTTAAACGTCAAAAACCATAGGGCGTTTGCATGATTGACGAGCTAGTTCAGAATATATAAGTGTTGGTAGGAACCCCGATGAGTACAATTTAAGGGACATTCGCAGCTACGTCGTGTGTCGTGCTGCATGTGCAAGAGCGTGGTAACTATGGTTACAACTGGTATCAATAATGATTTTAAATTAAAGCTATAATCAATTCTTGGTATACTCGATTACAATACTTAGTTATTACATGATATCAAACATGTATGTAATGTAAGTAATGTCCAATCACAATAATGTTCGACGTAGGTGTGAATCAAGTTTTATTAATAATATCATTCGAAATCGTAGATACGACAGTGCTCATTCTATAATAAATAGTCTATCATATTATCACAGATTAAATTAAAAAAATTAATTATTAAATATTATATAATCTGTGATATTATTAAAAGTACGCGCCGTGTGGGCATACCAAAGACCGCGTAGGCCAGATCCGTCGGCGAAGGACGTTGCTCTTGCAGCGGTCATCGAGCGCCTACCACCCGGGACGTCTAGTCTGTCGCTGTTAATGCAGTGCTGTAGTGCAAGCAAGTCGAAATCCTCCGACCTGCACCGACCAACTCCGACCGACCGCCCGCCCGTGGGGTGCCACGCACTTGTCTACCGCTGCCCGTTGGTGTCTAATATACCAAGGTATAATAATAYTATTATTATCATCAATATTCTTCATCATTGTAAGAATGCTAGTACATTATATTCGTGTGTAGTGTGGTTAGTTGAGTGTATAATAATAATTGTCGTCGTCATTCTTCTTCTCCCATATGACCTATACGATGAAAACATTGTTATAATAAACAAAAACAACAATAATGCCACAAAACTGTAATTATTATAATATAGCAAGACGTGTGCTCGTATGCGTCTGTGCACAATACAAACAAAGCAGTTTCATCTCGCGAGTCTTTGAATTTTTTCATCTCGTTTTTATATAAATATATATTATACAGAGTATGAGACTAGGGTGTATAATACATATATTATAATGATAATAATGATGTTTGTTATTGTGTTTGGTAATGTATATATATATATGCACGTTGTATCTATTATATAGGTTTAACCGTGTCCACCGCGAACGTACTGCACCTCGTAGCAACAACAACAACAACAATAATAATAAAAGAAGATCGGACTTGTGCTACCTTTATGTGTATGTGTGTGTATGTGTATCGTGGTCAACGGTCTTCGCGCCTCAGTGATATCGATGACAACGTGCAACGGAGTAAAGTCATAGGTATCGTAGGCGCGGTGCCTCCTTACCATCCCTCACAATATATAAGCCCCCTCCAATTATAGATCCCACTCCCTGCCAACCATCCGAACCCGTATCCAATCGGTCGACAGCCGGTCAAGCATTTGAGATTTTTTCCGCCCGCAGAGAGTTCAGACTCGTTTTATTTCGTCATCGTCGTCGTCGTCGCCACCGTCACCGTCATCTTCATTTATCATCGCATCCGGCCAATAACTGCTACACAAGTACATAAGTACATAAGTATACGACGTAATAATATTTTTATGTTGTACYATACGATACTGTAGTATCTAAACAGGAGTTGCTGATGTGTCTAAGTGTCTTCATGCAAAGGTTTTTTATTTTTGTCGACGTAATAATATAATCATCCGATTTACTGACAAAACGGTTTTATTTTCATTAGTGTTTTTTTTTTTTTTTTACGAATTTTCAATATCTACAGCATTTTGGATCCTGATATCCAGTCCTCTGTGGATAATATTATGTATATGTAGTGTATAGTGAAAACCGTTTCAAATAATAACTTTAATAATATAATACGTACATCTATTGCAACAAACAAGAAATACAATATATAGAGACATARCCACATAGGGAAATAGTCCCTAAATACCATAAATCTCCTAAATATACGCGAAAATCATTCATATTACATTATAAAGACCATTGATACACATAATAATGTTGATGGAGAATTTATTGTTATCAAAATATGTTTTAAGTTTATTTTGTATTGAATTCATCTTAATCAAATATTAAATTATAATAATATATATTGTTATTTTTATAGTCAAGCTATACAGATATTGTAATAAAGAACCCATAATATGATTTRCTGCATACGTATTTTTACTAATTGGCAGAGATAGATTAGAAGATCCATAAAATTATCGAATTAATAAGATCAAACAAAAAACATAAACACTACCCATAACAATAATATTTTGGTATTTACGAAACGTCACCTCATGGCCGCTTAATCAGTACGTCGATAACTATACTAACAGGTGAAWYTAAGTAATTGCCTACCCTACATCCTTATTTTAAAACTTGACCATTATACAAACTGTATTTAATGTATCAAAATTCATCGAAGAAGAAAGAATATTTAACTGATTCAAACTTTATTCTCTTGTAATGATTTAGGAATCTTAATAAACTATAATTATTCAATACAATAACTTTAATTTTTAAGCTAATTAATACTTTTAAATACTGTCTTMTGAAGAATTTAATCAGAATTGGTACACAGATATTTGTGGACAGAACACTATGCGCCGACTTATTTCTGAATAGGTAACCAAAGTTAACCAATCTTATATTATTTCGATATTATTGCTAGGAATGTAGTGTTATTGTT